CCCTCCACCGGCTGCCTGTAACAAAGATGGCTGGTCGCACCAAAAGCAACCACGTCGCCTATTCTATTCTTACCCCTCCCGTCTTCCCGCGCCTCCATGCCACAATCCCAAATCAGGCTCTTGAGATTCCATGTTTTTTGCTGATTTCCCAGCAAGCTTCACAACCTCCAAATGCTCACCGCCAGACTGTCAAACATCCGTCATGGACGGCGGCCGTCTCGCTGCTAACTACATAGCTAGCTAGCTTCTAGCACCCGTGTCGTTACCAGGGGTGATGGTGCCGCAACCCCCGTGGGCGGCCGCATCCGCTCCAGCTCGCTCGACTGTCTTCCCGACGTGATTGGCCCGCCAGCTGCTCAGCGACTTGCCAGCGCATCCCCCAGGGCTCCATACAAGCCGCGGCGTCTGACACTTTCTGCACTTTGCGTAACTCGTAGGGCTGGCTAGCTACGGGCAGAACTCCGTCAAGTAATATACCAGAAGTGCCCTCTGTGCTAGAGAATAAATATTCCGAAGGATGCAGACTTGGTGAACTGGCAAGTTGACGCGGCTGCAGCAATGTTGCGCTTCTGCTGCCTCAGTGGTTGCGCGCCCGAATCTTGCTAGGGCTCACCGGTTTGGTGGCGCTGTACGGGCAGGCAATCTTCAAGACGTTCATTTTGCTTGCAGTTAGATTTAAGCTACCAAGTACGTCATACATGTCAGGAACAGAGTTGTTTGAAGTCCAAGGTCCATATCAAATTGACACATTTCGCTTCTGAAGTTACTAACATCCCCATGGGTGCTCAATTAGATCATGCAAAGCTGTAAACCCTAGATCATGGCCCGTATGTGATTTTGTACGCCAAACTCCCATCAATGCCTCTCAACTACTACCTCAGAACCTCTTGCCTCCCCTCATCGGTCGTCGGCCCTGCGCAGGCTGGCTTCCATATGCTCTCCTTCCCTCCACCTTCTTGTCGCGACTCAGGCTCGCCCCAAGACTGATGTCGATGCGCGGTGGTGTCGAGAAACCGAACGATTTGGCCACCTTGACGAGATCCAGCTTGTGCACGTCGAACACTGATCGCAAGCTATGTGAAGCGTACGACTGGAGGTACGACCGGTAGCCATCCTTTGCGCTCTTGTTGAGGTAGTAGTTCTTGCTGATCAAGGCTTCCAGTTGTGACTGGATGTTGAGAATCTTGTTGGAAGGCAACTCAAACTCCACCAGCGGCACGCGGTTCTCTTTGAGGAGCTTGAGGAATCCTACTTCCGACGGCAGGAGGAACATCAAACTCCTGCCCTTGCCGTTTGCACCTCGGGCTGTTCGACCGACTCTGTGGATGTAGTCTGTAGACGAGTCAGTATATGCTCATGCATTGCGTGCGTTCAAGCTTACCTCGCGGATCATCAGGTGGGTCGAATTGAATAACCCAATCCACCTCAGGAATATCTAGTCCTCGCGCAGCAACGTCGGTGCAGATAAGTGTGCCGCTTTGTGCATTGACAAACTCGAAGAAGCGGTTCGTTCGCGCCTGTTGTTTGAGCTTGCCGTGCAGTCCAAGCACGGGCAGGTCGATGTAGTTGAGCAATTCGCTGTAGAAGTCGACAGATGCACACGATGACAAGAAGACAATGACCTTCTTCTTCTGGTGTTTCTTGAGGAAAGAAAACAGAAGCCTGAACCTGGTGTCTGAATCGCACAGAACGTAACCCTGCTCCAATCCCTGGACCGTGCTATGCTCGGCACGGTGATCGACGTTGATATAGAGGGGGCCGGCCTTGAGCGATATCCTTGCGAGATCCTCAACCTTGGTGGTCTGTGTTGCGGAGAAAAGCATCGTCTGACGCTCCGTAGGCAGGATCTTGATGATGGACCTCATCTCGTCTTCGAAACCGACTTCGAGAATTCTGTCTGCCTCATCAATGATGAGCGACCTCAAGTTCTTGAAGACGAAGCCCTGCGTGTTATGTAGATGGTCGAGGAGGCGCCCGGGAGTAGCGATGATCAGGTTCAAGCCCTTCCTAATCTTCTCGGCTTCTGCGTTTCGGTTGGCACCACCGATGCAGATACCAAACGTCTGGCTGTGTGGCTCCATGAGCTCGCGCGCTACACCGAAGATCTGCAACGCCAGTTCTCTGGTCGGCGATACGACAATGACTCCAGTTCCGTTGCGCGGCTTGAACCGCAACTGTGAGAGCATCTCGATGGCGGGGATGAGGAAAGCCAGTGTTTTTCCACTGCCAGTCTTTGCCGCTCCAAGCACATCCCTTCCAGATAGCAGAGGTGGTATAGCCTTCTGTTGGATCTCTGTCATGTTCTCGAAACCCATGTTCTTGATAGAGGTCATCGTTCGTTCGCTCAGGTTGAGCTCGTCGAATCGCGTCGGGTTCGCTGAGGGCATCGAAGTGCCTGAGGGAAGATCAACGGCATTGCTGCCCGTGCCAGAGGGTAGTTCGGCAAGCTCGTCATTGTCGCCTTCATCGTCTTCCTTGTCGCTGTCGTCGTCTGCAGCACTGGCTTCTGCGACGACATCCTCTACTGCCGGTTCTTCTTCGTCATCACTCTGTTCCTCCTCAGAAACATCCTCCACCACTGGCTCTTCGACGACAGGTGCCTTGTCTTTGCGCGCCTTCTTGCGCGCCTTGGTAGCGTCTACGCCATCATGCGCTGGTGCGATGGCTGGCTCGGCGCTCTTTTTGCTCTTGTGAGACCTCTTCCTCTTGTTTCCCGACTCGATCGCGGCGGGCGACATGGTGTGTAGTGCGTTTGGGGGTGCTGTGCAATGGCGCGAAAAGTTCGACTTGAAGCGCACCGGCTTGCCAAAAGTTCTAAGACCGAGAAATAATTATCGCGCTAGAGACCCTGGCCTGGCGCACGGACCAGTTCAGCGGGTTGCAGCATCGCGATGTAGAGAACACCATCCAGCTACTCCACGAAGAGCTGATGAAAGAAAGAGCTTACATAGCTGTCACAGCCTGCACAGTTGAATGGTCTCAAGGCTAGCGCATATCATGACGTCTTCTCTGATACCACCTACGCTCCCACGACGTACGACCCACGACCTACTCATCTGCAATGTTCAAGAAACTCCCGTATCTCAGCATCCTCAAGCTCAAACAAACAAAACATATCAGACGTCCCATCGATGAAACACATCCACGCTCAGCATCCACGGACGAACTTTCGCATTGTCAGAGCCCTTAGCCGGTCGCATGTAAATAGCGTGTACACCATCCTTAGCACTAGCCACACGGCCTGAATGTTGTCCCGAGTATTTGCACTCCGGACCAAGGAGTCAAAAAAGCAAAATCCCTAGATCACGGACGAAACAATGTAGTTACATGACGATGCAGCTACGATTTCGTAAAGCTGAGTTACTATGTCAGTGGAATTGTATTACCAATCAAAGGCGGAGTAGCCGACTTATATATACCTTTAAAGCATCCTCGAGAATCCTACAAACACTGCAGTGTATCTCACCATCAATCTCACCTCAGACCCATACTATCAATCAATCAACAACCCATCATGGCACCCAAGATCTTCCTGTACACACCCACCCACCCCTCCCCCTCCATCCCCACCACTAACCCCCGCCCAGCACAGGAGGCACAGGCTACATCGGCGGCTCCGTCCTGCACACGCTCGCAACCACCCACCCGGAATACACCATAACCGTGCTCCTCCGCCGAACACCCCCAAACTTCGCATCCACCTACCCCAACATCACCATCCTAACCGGCTCCTACTCCAGCACCTCTTTGATAACCTCCGCCGCCGCCTCCGCCGACATCGTCGTGCATAACGGGGACTCAGACCACGAACCCAGTCTCAACGCCATCATCTCCGGTCTCCTCCAGCGGCCTACCCCAGGCTACCTACTCCACCTCTCCGGCACAGGAATAGTGTCAGACTGGGCCTCCCCATCATACCTGGGACTGCTAAACCCAAAGATATGGTCCGACAAGACTTCTCTCCCCGAAATCCGGTCCTTGCCTCCTACGGCGCTGCACCGCAACACCGAAACCATTTTACACGAAACCATAGCCAAACATGGAGATAGGATCAATATAGCTATCATGTGCCCCCCCGATATCTACGGCAAAGGCAAGGGGTTGGTGAAAACGCATAGTGCACTTATCCCCTTCTTCATCCACGCAGCGAAGGGGATTGAGAGTGGGAAACCTTTTTATTACAACCAAGGCGCCAACACCCGGAGTTGGGTGCATATCAACGACCTCATGCGTCTGTATTTGCATGTTGTGGAAGCCGCAGCCTCTTCCTTGTCCTCCAACTCCGACTCCTCCAGTGGTGATTTCTTCAACGAAAACGGCTACTACTTTGCTGCCACGCAAGAGCATTCGCAGATCGATGTTGCGAAAGCAGTGGGGGGCATTCTGCACAAGCATGGTGTTATCAAAGATGCGGAACCAGTGCAGATCGGTTTGGAGGAATTGGACGGCATGGCTGCTGTTTATCCTGGGTTTCCGAAGCTCGCGAGGTACCTGTTCGCGAGTAATTCGCGTACGAGGGCTGAGAGGGCGGGTGAGAAGTGGGGGTATAAGGGTGAGGCGCCTGGGTTGTTGGAGTGTTTGGAGGGGGATGTGCTGGATGCTATTGGCATGAAGGGGTGAATTTGCACATCACTGGGGATAAGGGAGGCGCGCTGGCGGTTCAAATAGCAGTGAGTTCGACGATGACATAGTATATGGGAACTGGTCTGGTGGCGACGATGTATCATGAATGACGAGTATACCAGAGCTGATAGGGGTCTGAATGATCTTCCTGATATGTGTACCGTGTGATGATTATTGCGCATGTCGACGACCTCCAAGCACTGTTATACCATCGTTGCTTGTGGACTCAGATTGTCACCAAGTCAATCGAGCACATTTATCATTCAAAAGATTTTGAGAGAAATTACACGGGGCTCAAATATTACCCAATCCCTCCACGCTCACGCTCAAACCAACGAGAAGACATCTTTGCAACCAACAGATTCGTCCAAACCCACTTATCGCATGCGGCCGTCAAGACCCTGAAGATCACGCTCCAGATCGCTTCCGTTCCATCCACCTTGATTGAACGCTTCTTGCGGCCTTGGGTCTTCGTAGCCAGCGCGGTCGTAGTTGTTGGGTATCGGGACTTGCGGCGCCTGGTTTCCCCCAGCGCCTGCACCGGGTTGTACGCGCACCATCTGGCGGAAGCGACTGACTTCATCCAGGATCATCTTCTTCATCTCTGGAATTTCCTCGACCACCTCGAACTGGAAGTCGAATGTAGTTGGGCATGAAGGCTCGTCGGAAGCATCGTGCCAGATTTGTAGGTACCTGTGTTCCAGGGCTTCCTCGACTGAGATACGGCTTGAGGGATCAAATGCGAGCATGCGGTCGAGCAGATCAAGTGCGTCTGGGTTGGCGTTCCTGAACAGGGACTGGAACGAGATCTTCTGCATGTACGGTAGATTGCGGACGTAATCTTGCGCACGGGGAGAGCCGATGCGTGAGAGTGTCTCCTCGTTTGGTGTTCCAAGGTAGTGCAGGATCTGGTTCAATTGATCGACGTAGTCGCGGCCCTTGAAGAAGGGCTTACCGCCAAGCAGCTCAGCAAGGATGCAGCCTACTGACCACACATCGACTACGCAGAGTCAGCTTGAGCTCGGCATGTGAAATGTCTAAGCGGGTTCGTCGATGCCAACGACAAACGCCATCACGAGAGAGTGACACTTACTAGCTTTTGTGTAGCTCTGGAAGCTCAACATGATCTCAGGGGCTCTGTACCATCGGGTAGCGACATATTCGGTCATGTATCCTGCGTTCTCCTCGGGGTCCATGGAGAAACCCCTGGCAAGACCAAAGTCGCAAATCTTGAGCTCGCAGTCGGCGTTGACGAGGAGGTTACCGGGCTTGAGATCGCGATGGAGTACATTGGCCGAGTGAATGTACTTGAGACCGCAGAGGATCTGGTAGATGAAGGACTGGAAGTGGGCATCGGTGAGCGGCTGGCCGGACCGGATAATGGCTGCCAGGTCGCACTCCATGAGCTCTACACGCCTATCAGCACCGTCTTATTGAAGCATGGGTGTAGTTCATACCCTCGTATAGGTAGCACTCGTTGAAGTTGTCTGGGCGGGGAATGTCCATGTCGTAGAGACATGTTATCTGTGCGACGGGTTTAGCATGGGGTCGATCGGGGCACTCGGGAGCATGTGTGTCTTACGTTACGGTGGCCTGGCAGGTGTTAGTAGTGTTGCAGCCGGCAGGTGGCATGTCAACGTACCTCTAAAGTGCTGGAGCAGCTTGATCTCGCGCAGGGCACGCTTGGCAAGGATCTTCTTGCTGAAGACGTTGGTGACCTTCTTGATGGCCACGCCCTCGCCCGTCTGGTTGTTGGTAGCCGCACTGGGGGCAGAATCAGCACTTGTTATGCGGCGCGCCGTCGCTCGAGTCGTACCAGACAATGCCATAGGCACCCTGTCCCAGCTCCTTGGTTACATTGTAGCGCTCGTCGACGATGAACTCCTGGTTGAACACCTGCAAGCTGTCAGTACGCGTGCTCGGCCCTGAATGGCGGATATAACGTTACCTTGAACACTTTGCGGTTGGCGAGGTCGCCCATGGTGGCAGCTGCGGCGGGGTAGGCTCGAAGGGCAACCAAAGCAGGCTCTTTCTATGTTCAGAGAGAAAGCAGAAGTCGGACAATGTGGACTGTGGAGAACAAGTGCGGGCGGCAAGCGCACGATATGATATAAGGCTAGGCGCGCGGCCAATGTGATGACTGACAGGAGCTGCTTCGACACAAAGCGGGGCGGCGGCTCTGGCACGGGGCTTGGGGTGGGACAGTCGAGGCAGGCGCAGAGTCTTCACCGGGAAGTCGCCAGCAATAGGAAAGCGATGGACGGACTGGCTTCAGCAGAAAAGCGGTCGTCCTGTGCCTCGTCGCGGCCTCCGTGAGGATATGGTGGGGTTGGTATCCAGTCGCTGCGCGGACGAGGGGTTCAACTTGGCTGCTTGCGGCAAGGCGCTGCCCAAGGCACCTTCCTCAGACCGCTTCGCCCGCGCCGCTGGCTCTGCCCTACAATCAGGACAATTGCCCGTTGCAGGCCCGCGACCGTTTAGCCAGCCGACGGCCAGCCCGACACATGTGCAGCATGAACGCATGAGCCTAGCGCTTCGACATGCACATGTACAATTCAGGGTGCCGCCATGTGCGCGAAAAGCGTGTATTTACACTATATACACTAACAAAACGTGGCTGCTCGTTTCTACCACGTGCCGCCGTCTAGATGGGTATTCAGCCTCTGCTATGCACAATTCAAACTATTCCCTCTCAAACGCCATATCCGTGGTGCCAAGATAACCCCGCCACTTATGCCAAACAAAATAAACGCCAGTCGTAACGTCGCTGAACAAGCAGCTTTTTGGCCTCATGACTCGTAAGAGAACCGCCGTCGGGAGGCATCCGTAGACCCTTCCAGCGGCGAGACGGGGGAAAGGGGATCGCCATCCGACTCGGCGCGTCGTTCTTCGCGAGCACGGTAGGGCGGCAATTGGAAAAATGTGTCCGAGGCTTCCAAGAAAGCACCGTCTCTTGGTGTGCGTGGTGTAATGGGCGACACGTTGTCGGTTGGAAGCCGACCGCTCACTATCGACACTTCGGACGGGGATATTGGTGCGAGCCTGCGCGACTCTTCGTACGCAGCTGGGGTTGCATCTGGCGTGCCGGTCGGATCTATGCCGTTGTATATCCTCTCGCGTACCACCATGGACTCCTTCTCCGACAGTTGACGGCCGCCTGCCTCGGGAAGCACAGGCATGTCTCCAGGCATCTCATAGATCTGACGCTCCTCGCCATCTGCCTCATGCACGGCTGATGATCCCTTCTCTTCTGCGCTGGAGCTCATCTCGTGATGCACATGGGATGAGCCAGGTAGCTCGGCCTTCGCGAAGACAGTCACGCCTTCTGTACTACTTCGTACTGGAGACGTCGGAGCCTCCTCTGACACGGGTGGATCCATCTTGGTGACCGCCGCCGCAGCGACATCGGCCTCGTATTGCGCTTTGATGTCTGCCAGCTTGCGCTTGTGCCGCCGCCGCCAGAACCACCACCCAATTGCGCACAGAATCAGAGCAACGATGAAGCCACCTCCCACTGCGATACCGATGACTGCCCCTGAAGACAAAGGCTTCTTCTTTGGGGGATCATAATGCGGGACCGCGTAGGTGGGCGACACGATAGGCATGATTTGTGGAGCTTTGCCAAATGTCCAGTCCACCGCTGACACGGTGAAGTTCTGACGTTCCCAGTCTACGGTCAAGTAGGCTTCCTGCAGAAAGACTCTACCCAGTACCCACTGACGCGCCTCCGCACCTCGTCTGATAGGAAAGTACCTTGTCTTCTCTTGCAACCCTCTATACGGAGGAGTCGCCTCCAAGTCTAGAGCAGCATAAGGCAACGTGATCTGCAAAGTGGAATCCGTGCTGTATTTCTGGCCGAGAGTGAAGGTGACACTGGGGTTTTGCGCGACGAGATCCCGGTGAAGGGCATCATCCACAAGGTAGAGATCAGTCTTTTCATCGTACTTTAGTCCAAATGCATCCTCAAAAGCTTGGCATATCTCAACCGGCAGGTAGAGTTCTGCAACCGTCGAATCGATGTACATGGTCACGTCGTCCCGGTTCATGAGGAGGTCAATATCTCCTTTCGACGTGGTATCTGCCGTGATGCCGACGACACCAACCGCCAGGTCGCGCTCATTATCAGGGGCGAAGATGAAGGTGAGGTCGTTGGGAATGAGGCGGGAGGCATCGTAGCCGCCAAGCGTGAGACTTCCGAGGACCGTCTGGTCACCTGTGCGTCCGAGTCAGTGATTTGCAACGAGGGTACGTGGTAATGTCTTACGGTACTGGGCGCCTGCCGTGTAGCCAAAAGACAAACTAGGGATGCTCTTCTGGTCGAACAGCGTGGTTAGGTAGCTTGGAACGGATTCATCGAAGACGGAGAAGTTGGTCGACTTGGAATGCACGCCGATATGCCCAAGCCAGAAGTTAGCGGTGACCAAGGTGCCGATCGTGGTGTTCTGAACTGAGGGCCCCATCTCCCCGGCCCTCCCCAGACCCACCGAATCGAAGCCGTACAATCCATTGCCGACCAGTCCGAGATATTTCTCGATCCACAGTTGGTAGAAGCCCTTTTGCTGCCATGTTTCCGAGTTGCTGCTGTTGAACAGGAAGCCGCGGCTGGTTTCACAATCCGAGTCGAAGACGTTGTATGCTGTAATTTCTCCTGTCACCGGGCTCGTGGTGTTGGTGATGCACGCCATGCGATTGATGGCCCATATCTGCTGGCTTGCAGTCGACACGAAGACGCGCACATTCTCCCCTGTTTCGCCCACGCGCAGAGTAAAGGTGTTCCATGAGCCGTCGACTCCTAGCCAGTTCTGGTCCGGCGCGACGGTGACGGGTGCTGGTACCGAAGCGATGCCAGGCAGCAGCTGGAAGTTGGGCGTCTCGGTGATGTTTGTCGGCACATAGTCGGCTGCGGCAAGCAAGGGCAGGAGCAGGGCGGCGGCGAGGAAGGCGCATAGGGCTGTGTGGAAGGCACGATGCCCTCGGAAAGGGACCATGTTCCGTGACTAAGCGGCGCGTGGAAGGAGGCACGACTGGGGCCACTCAACCTCGAAGAGCGCAGCGAGCAGCATCACCGAGTGGCATTGTTTGTCCCCGCCAGCGCCACGAGAGGGGTGAAGAAAGAGAAGGAGTCCTCGGAATGCAGCCAGCATGCAAAAGCACTCTCGTCCAGAGTCGAGCCAGATTGGCGGATCCTGGCATGCCAGCCGAGAGCAAGCCAAGGCATATATTGCACCAGATGCTCTAACGAAGTTGGTCACTTGGCTAACGGGGCGAACGCTCCTTTCGATTGACGTACCCGCCATTTGCTGCGATAGCACTCTTTTTTGCGGGAGCGCCCCGACCGTCACCCTTCTGCGATCCCTCTGCTGTACGCCTTGATTTTGGCGCCTCGATGCTGTGCGGCGGACGTAAGCTTGTACGGCAACTTCGTCAGACGCCTGTAAGACGGCCATCCTGCTCCCGTCGCTTTCAACCGGTATTCTTCCGCAGCAACATAGATGAATGCAGCTGAATGCCGTGAGGCACCCGACCGACCCCTCGTTTCATCCCTACACCGATTGGCACCTGTTCGCGCAATCTGGGGTCGGCCTCTGGACTGCCATGTGCCACTGCAAGGCGCTGGCAAAGCGGCTGGGCTTAGGCCACCACGGCTCCCACTACGAGCGGGCGACGCCCACGCCTAGATCACGTGTCCAAGTAAGCCTTAGCTTTAGTGTTTCTTAACTATAGAAATTTAGAAAAATCTTAACTTAATAACTAAAGTATACTATAGTTATATACTATAGCTAATACTTAAATAAAATAGAAGTATAAAAACTTTATACTTATATATTATTTTTTTTTTTTTTATCTTTATTTATATACTTTAAAATAGTAATAATAATAATAATTACTTTATAAGCTACTTTTAAGTTATTATTAAACTCTAGTAGTTCTATATTTATTAAATATAAGATTACTAACTTTTATAAATAGAAGCTAGTAGAACTTACTACTATATATATAAATACTATTAATTACGCTTAAATAGTTATACTTTAAGTAGTTACTCTAAGTATAATAGCTACTATTTTTATTTATACTAATATTTTTATTAACTTTAATATTAAGCTCTTTATATATAAAAAGCTATAAGCTTTTAAATAACTTTATAAAAAAGTTTTTACTAATACTACTACTTCTAGTAATATACTAATTATTACTAAGCTTATAGTATAAAGCTAAAGAAAAGTATTAAATTAAGTAAAATATATTTTAGTTTTAATTTAAAAAAGAATAATAAAAAAATTAATAGTATAGACTAGTAATTAATAAGCCTATAGGCGTGCACTAAACGTCTTCTGCAGCGTGATATCTGGCACCTACGCCCAGACTTCACAACAGCCACCCCCGAACGACAAGCTTAAAACAGTAGGTTCTGGAGCGGTTGACCAGCGCATTCGCTTAGATTTGCTCTCTCCAGTCTGGCAGATCGGCGCGCTTGCCAGAAACCTACCAGACCATCGTCATGCTCAACAAGAGGAAATCTTGAGTGATGCGTCGATCATGATGTTGGGATGAATGCTTTTTGTGCATGATGAACGTGGCGCTTCATCTCCGCAAGAGCCGCACGCCGCCTGCGTGGTAGACAATCAACACTCAGCTGAACAGCAAGGGCTGTCTACAATGGTATGGAGGCGTGTCGCACAAATACAAGCAATCGCCTATGCCGAGACAGGCAGGCCGAGATTTTGATGCCTCCGCCCACACCCCAGCCTGCAACATGCTGCAGTAGCGGGGTCTTGTGCTCTCAGGGACCTGCGTGGCAGTCGCACTCAACCTACAGGATGTTGGCCAGATTCATCGTTCTTTTGCGAGGTGGACATACGTTATTGGTGTCCTCGTTCAACTCACGTGCCATCCGCCTCATACCCCTGTCCCGAATAGGAGCCTACGGACTTCGCCCAGAGCCTAGCTACCTTCCGCGCTGATCTTCCGATAAATATG